CAGCAAGGTACCATGGGATTTGTAGTCCTTATAAATTGAGAAGCTGCAAAGCATGCAGGGATATCAGGAAGTTGTGAAAAGAGATGGCCAAGAGAGAGAAACAGGACTCACAACATGAAAGGAGATTTCTTTTAACCTCTTCCTGCCGACATGGCACATATATGTGGCCTCTTGGCACGTGGGCTTAAACGCCAAGTGGTCGCATATATGCTTCAATTGGTAACAATTTACTATGCTGAGAGAGCCCTCACGGCACAGCAACTAACATGTAATGGAAAGCTCTTGGTGCATACTTGTGATTTGAAGCTTTTCAATCATGTGACCGCTATGACAGCAAATCTCAGTGGTCACATGATCAGAATGCCCGCCTCTGCCTCCTGGCATTTCAATGCAGCTAAAATGGTTGTAAACCTGAGACATGAATTATGAATAAAGCATATCTCTCTATAGTATGTACTTACCTCAATCCAGAGCACTCTCATTTCTGTCTGCTGCCTCATTCCTCTGCTATCAGCAAGAGTCACTTCTGACAAGTTTTCCTGACACCAAGAGAAAAATGGTGACAGGGGAAGGACAGTCTGTGATTGACAGCCTCAACAGTTCATGTGTGCTATGTGCAGGGGGGTAAGTCCCTTCCCTCCAATCAGGGCTTAAAGCTCTATTCAATGAGATCTGCAGAGTGTAACTTCAGCTCCCCACCCCCTGCTTTTCAGAACTGAGAGATCTTATGCAAATTCTGCACTTTGAATGGATGTAGAGAAAAGAGGGCTGGAGATAAACAGGTACATCTGACACGGAGATGAAACAAATCATCCTATATATCACCTGAGACCAGTCACTTCACTGGGTATATGGAAGGGACAACCACTTTAAAGTGGCGGGAAGGGGTTGAACTAGGCTTATATTGGACTGTCAAATAGAAGTGTTTGTTTGTATTGATAATACAACACTCATGTTATAAAATGAAAGTGAATGCTGTGATCATATGTTCTATGTACCTGGATTTCAGATCACCTTCCCCAGATTAGAAGTACTCCCAGCCATACCCCAGCATAGATCAGGCTATGTACTCAGTACCTACATTATGGTGTAGATTTACTAAAACTGGTGCACTCACAATCTGGTGAAGCAATGCATGCTAGCCAATGAGCTTCTAACTTCAGCTTGTTCGATTAAGCTTCGACAATAAACCCTGAAAGCTGATTGGTTTCTGTGCAGAGCTGCACCTGATTTTGCACCATGCAGCTTTAGTAACTAACCCCCTATGTCAGCCCCCCCCCACCCTTAGCCTCTCTACCATCACCTGCATGCTCTGTCATCCCACCTGGACACGTACAGCGCCATATATATATAGTCCCCCTTCTTTACCTAAACCAAACTGTTCCCACCTCTAATGACAAGCAGTAATCCTCACTCCACTTCTTTGGTTACAAACTACCACGCATGCGCCGTGACCCATTCTACCAAGCACTATACGTCCCCCAATCCCTTCCAATCACACTCTTCACATGAGCAGTATTTCCGGAATCTTTCTACGCTTGCGTTGTAGGTCACGCAATGTCCTGTATAGACAACGGAGCCGGCATGACCCCTGTTGAGCATGCGCATTAACTCTCTATGAAACTTGAAGAATTTAATTATTAATACGCTGCCCAAATCATACAGAAATCTTCATGTTTTGTAGTAAGCGGTATTACAGAACGGTGTATGTAGGGTTGGAGTGAGTTTAGGTAAGGATTCGATATTGACCTTTGATCTCTCAGACCCTTGGTACTTTCCTCTGGAAACCCCGTGGGTCTCTCTTTCCCTCTCTCGGAGCCGGAGAACAGGAGCGTGCACATCGTTTCGTGTCTCTATAGACTTAAAGTGAGTTCGGTAGGGGAGGTTCAGACCGGCTGTCCTGGACGTATATGGTGTGAGGGAGGAAGTCTGCCCTTCGTACAGTGATGGAGGAGCTGAGAGTGCTCTGAGCCATGCTGGCCACTCACTGGGTAGACTATGGGGGAAGGGGTGCAGCAGATGGCAGTGGGTGGCACATAAATACTGTCTGTATAGACATTAAATGTGTGGCTATTCGTACAATTTCTATGTGTCAGACTAACCATGCCATTACATGCCTTCTTGTACCATCTGTGCCAGAAGATGTTAACCACTTCCTGCCCAGGCCACTTCCACATGGAAAATCTACATTTTGTTTGTGGCTAATTACTTAGAACCCCCAAACATTATATATATATTTTTGCAGAGGCTGTAGATAATAGAATGGTGGGTGTTGCAATTTTTGTGTCTCCCAATTTTTTGGGGAAAAAATAACATTTCATACATTTTATTCCACACAAACACAATATAATACCTTTTTTTTTTGTTAAAAAATAAAAGATGACGTTGCGCCAAGTAAATAGATACCCAACATGTCACGCTTTAAAATTGTGTACACTCATGAAATGGCACCAAACTGCAGTACCTAAAAGCCTCCATAGGTGACGCTTTAAAAGCCCTTACCTCAGGGGTGTGTCAAACTGGGGTCCTCTAGCTGTTGTGAAACTACAAGTCCCATCATGCCTTTGGGAGTCATGCTTGTAGCTGTCAGTCTTGCAATGCCTTATGGGACTTGGAGTTTGGCTACAGCTGGAGGGCTGCCAGTTTGATACCCGTGCCTTACAGGTTATCAGTTTGAGTTACACAGGAGGTCTGGAGCTAAAATAATTGCTCTTGTTCTGACGTTCACGACCATAACTCACAAGTGTGGTGTGATCACTGTTTACATATGTGTCTAGGAATTTATTTATTTCAGGTACTTATATAGCGCTGTCAGTTTATATTGTACATTCACATCAGTCCCTAACCCTCGAGGGGCGTACAATCTAACTTACATTCATACATACACATACTAGGGCCAATTTAGACAGGATCCAATTAACCTACCAGCATGTCTTTGGAGTGTGGGAGGAAACCAGAGCACCCTGAGGAAACCCACGCAAGCACAGGGCGAACATGCAAACTCCATGCAGGAGGCGCTATAGTCGGGAATCAAACCCATGACCCATTTACTGCAAGGCAGACGTGCTAACCACTAAGCCACTGTGTCGCTTCATATTTATGTATGCGTTCACATTGCATAAGCACGGGGGGGTGGGGCGCTTTAAAAAAAAAGTTATATCTATTTTATTTGAAACTTTTTTTTTTTTTTTTCTGTCACATTCATTTTTTTTATTTCAAACCTGTGTTTTCACAAGGGATATATAACATCCCTTGTGAAAGCATGGGCCGTGTCAGATCCTCTTTATGGAGAGATCGGGGGTTTATTATACCTCATATCTCTCCTCTGGGCTCCAGTGTCCCCGATCAGACACAGATCGGTCTTATCAAATGCTTTCTTGGCTGCTGACAGCCAGGTAAACAAAGAGACAAAACTAGAAGTGACAAAATCTCATCGTTTCCAGTTTCTGGGGTTAGAGAGGGAGGAACAATGTTAGTTCCTCCCTCTCTCTCTGTAATGCCGCTGCTGGTTACAGCAGTTGCGGGCTCCACGACTGGACAGGTGAACCCTGAATAGGCGGCGGAAGGGGGGGGGCCAACTTGCGCTGCCTGCAGAAGTGGTCGAGTGGCTGTTTAGCCACTCGAATCACTTCTGCATTGAATAAAAATTTTCTTGCGGATAATTACTTAGAACCCCCAAACATAATTTTTTTTTTTGGCAGAGACCCTAGAGAATAAAATGGTGAGCGTTGCAATTTTTTTGGAAAAAATACACTTTCATAAATTTTATTGCACACAATCACAATATAATACCTAATTTTTTGTTAAAATATATAAATATAAAGATGACGTTACGCAAAGTACATAGATACCTAACATATCACGCTTTAAAATTGTGTATGCTCGCGGAATGGCGCCAAACTACACTACCTAAAAATCTCCATAGGCTTTTACAGGTTTGGAGCTAAAATGATTGCTCCCGCTCTGACGTTTGCAATGGTGCAATCACAGTTTGCATATGCATGCAGGAATTGCATATACGTTCACATTTTATGTGAAACTTTTATTTTTTATTTTCCTGCTACTTTATTTTATTTATTTATTTTGATCAACTTTATTGTTTTCAGCCCAAATCTGTCCTCTGTTCAGGCACATCAGTTTGATTGGCTGCTTTCCTGGCCGCTAACAGCCAGGTAAACTAATCCGAAACTAGAAGTGATGAAATCTTGTTGCTTCCAGTTTCCAGGGTTACAGAGCAGGAAGAACAACATCAGTTCCTCTCTCTCTGTGTAATGCTGCTGCCGGTTACAGCAGTCCCTGGCTCCACGATTAGACAGGTGAGCCCAGGATAGGTGGTGGCGGAAGGTGGGGGGCACTTGTGCTGCCTGCAGAAGTGATCGAGTGGCTGTATAGCCACTCAAATCACTTCTGCATAAAAGAGAATCAGCTGCTGTAAATATTAATGCCAGGATGATGCCTGTAGCTGCAGGCATCATCCCAGTATAACTACTACAAGCAAAGACATCATGGGGACGACTTAAGGGCAGAAGTGGTTAAAGCAACACTGTGGTCCCACTTGCACATCAGGAACACACATTGAGGCTTGCGATTCTTCCACATGTTGTGCATAGGGCAGTCTGTTCACTTGAATAGGCTATCCTACGCTCGTTTATCATGGCAAAGAAGCTCAAGGGCCAAATGTTGGCCTTGAATCGGGCGCATTTTTACACATGCAGCTTGCTGTGTTTTTGAGCAACAATCCTGGAAAAAAACTGCATTGCTTTTAGAATGCCATTAAGAATGGCACTCAAATGCATGTTTTAACGCGATTTGTAAGCATGGGTAGAATCATGCCGATTCCCCCATTCTTCTATACAAATATTTTAAGAATTCAGTTATCAATTCAATTAAAATGTTTTAAGTACCTAATCCATGAATAATCACTTTGGGGATAATGTATACACTCGTCATAAATAACATCTGTGCTATGCATTATATGGACATTTTCTTTTCATTGCAGAATGCGTTACATGGCCGCTTACCTGCTTGCCACCCTTGGTGGTAACAGCAACCCCTCAGCAAAAGACATCAAAAAAATCCTTTCCAGCGTAGGAATCGATGCTGATGAAGAGCGCCTAGGCAAGGTGAATAAGCTCTCTACTATCTATCTTCTGATATGTGTTTTGTAACAATGTGGATGTTTTAAATCTGACGCTACATGTGGACTTCTGTTGCCTCTGCATAGTGCAGCATGCAATGTGTAGGTTAAAGGTAAAGTAAAAATTATGTCTATGATGTCACTAACATTAACACAGCAGTCTTTGGTTTTTCTGAGGCCGCTCTGTAACTTAGGTTTTTTTTTTGTTTGTTTGTTTGGTTTTTTTTACCTGTTGGTCCTGCTGTTATTTTTCAAATTCCTTTAGCAGACGAGCTGTGCAGCAAAAGAGGCAGAGGGTTGAGGCAGAAACCATTTAACACTTACAATGGTCAGCATTCTTTTATTTAGTTAACTTTTTATCCAAAAAAAAAACTGCTTAAAATGACACTTAACCCCTTCACGCTGGCGCCTCCTGGCCCTTTAAGGGTTTCAGAAGCCAGGAGGCGGGGCGGGGCTAAGGGTCATGTGACGCGCAGTCACGGCGGTCACATGATCGGGAAAGGTCCCGATCGAAAGAGGAGATCGGGACCTTTCAGTGAGTACCAGACGTGTGCTGTGGGCACACGCTCTCAGCACATATGTCCTTTTTTAATAGAGCGTAAATGTGAGGCTGCTCGGCATCTAGACCCATGTTCATATTTGGAACACGTTCCACCCGTTTTTAGGGAGGAATATGTAACATGTTCGCATAGCCGCAGCCTTCTGGCAGATAATATGGGGAAAAGTTTCCCTGTACTATCAGATTTGAAAACAGCATGGCCACGTCACGCATTCACAGAGTTCTGTGAATGAGTGTCTACAAGTCCTGGCAGTCTTAGCAGCTGTGTTCTTGTAGTTTTCAATGAACTGTGGAGTGCCGAGGTAGTTTGTTGAAGCTTCCTGTCAGTATTATCTGCTTGCTCATACATCCAGTATGGCAAGCAGATATTCTGAAAGGTCTGCAGGAGACCTGCATGGCATCAGCGAATTCTGATCGCTGGCGCAATGTTTTACAGGCTTTTTTTGACAACAGTAATAATTGCACATATTTTTACCTGCAAAAAAATGTGCATTTATTATTTTTGTTCAAACTTTTCCTTTACGTTCCAAGCAGGCGGGCTCTTTGCAACAAAAGAAACCTACCTGCCTGCATGAGGTCATACTTGGAATGTACACCTCCAAGCCAGCGCCTGTGTGTCCTGATAACTGAAAACTCTTGCGCTTGCGCAATAGATGTTTGACTATTAAAGTATTGGTATCAGGGTGTTAGATCTGCTTTAATAAGCTGTTAGCTGGTGTTGGGGTTTAATCTGCCCTATGTTCATTTATCGTGGTAGAGAAGCTCATGCACCAAATTTTCGCCCTGAGTCAGGTGCAATTTTACACGTGCGGTTTGCTGCAATTTTCAAGCGATAATCATGGCAAAATCACACATATGTAAAATCCATATAAAGCTACTAGTTCATTTAACACCAACTGCAAGACAACGGTGATGTCCAAGGATATCTCCGTTGCACCTCCATAGACAGAAGAGCCACCCTAAGACGGGAAGTGTTACTGGCTGCATCAGCAGGTCAAATATGGAAAAAAAAAAAACTAAAAGCAGAAAACTAATGAAGCCACAACTTCTAAAGACTGGTAAGCTGCAAAATATTACATTTTTGTTTTTAGGTTTAGATATGCTTTCAATGCAAACAGTGTTTTGAGATGTTTTCATAATTTAGTTTGTACAGCCCTATGAACATTGCCAACATATGAGTCTTTAAGAGTCTTGAGCTGATATACTAGAAGAGGAGAAAATGTCTTTATGGGAAAATGATGCAGTTTCTCACTTTTCCCCGATTGTGTGAAAAGCAAATTCCTGTTTTTCATCTACACATGACTGGGTTTTTAACTACTTGCTCTCCAGAAGATTTACCCTGCTTCATGATGTCATCTAAAGGAGCCAGTGATATCATGGAGCCAGCTTGAGGGGGAGCAGTTGCAGTGTGTGTGTATTTTTTTTTTTTTTTTTTCCTTCCAGCGTTTTGTTTTTGACAGTCATTTTATTTTCCCTTGTGTGTACTTTAAGCTCAACCTGTCACTTTCTCATTCTGTGCAAAGTAACTGCTGGTTCTCTTGATAGCCCCATCCTGAGCTAATAATGGTTATACTCCCCATTGACCTGCTCACCTTGTGAAAATCTCAGTAGAAAGCCCTGTGTAATTTCAGTGCTTTAGTGTTTGTGGGAGCTTACACATAGCTCAGGCGTTAGGCACTGCATCAGGTGTGGAAAAGGAGTGGGCTGTGTGTTCCTCCATATCTACAAGTATTTGGTATTTCACAGTATTGCTGTGAGGGAATGTGGAGTGGGGGGGATAACCTCTAACTTGATGCTATTGTGCTGTTCTGAACAGTGTTTTATCACAGTGGTTACTGGATCTATCCCTTACCTATAACCTTTAACTTTAACCTCCTCTTACATTTTCTCTTAGGTTATATCTGAGCTTGGTGGAAAAAATGTTGATGACCTTATCAATGCCGGTTAGTATGTTTGTAGAATAAATGTTATAGCACTATGTTTGAGCAATATACTTCCCTAATACAGAACTATTGCCAGTAAAAAGTAAGAGCCTTTTTTTTTTTAACCGAGTCTTTTTTGACAAGTCCTGCATTAAGATTATATTGTGGGAAGTATAGGTTTAGAACCCCCACTCATAGTTGAAACCACAATCAATGCCTTCATTTTCTTAGGTCTTGTTTTAAAGCAATTTCTGACGTCTCCCTCCCCTTTTCTCCTGCCTGAGTCCATTCATTTATTTGCATGGAGCTGTTATGCATTACATTTTAGAGTCTTGAGTTTTGTTTGGGGGCATTGGTTACCCAAATGGTGATTTCCTGACCATACCAGTATAAGCTAGACTTCTAAACTTCCTAGGAATTACATTATCCCCTTTGTTTTAGGGAATACTTTTTACTGAAATATAATCTGAAGCTTTCTGTTGGAAAGTACAAATTCTTAAAGTCAGCGTTAAAGTGAAAGGGAAACATCTGTGTTGTCCGCTCCCCCCTTCTTGCAGGTGTCCCTCAGCAAGCATTGTGCAGAGGGGACACCAATGCAGGCACGCTTCTGTGCAGGCCTGTATATGTCCGTATACACCACAACGTGGCTCGGCCACACCTCCTACTCCCTTCTCACAGGATTTGACTGACAGCAACAGCAGCCAATGGCTCCTGCTTGGGTAAGGTTTAAGGCATATAAAAGTTTCAGGTTATCCTGCTATGTCTGCTGAAGCCTGGTAGCTGGTTCTTTGTCTGAGAGGACATATGGTTAGCACCTCGGGTCTACTTGTACTCTTTGTTCGAGGTTGGACATCCTTCGAGTTTAAGTGTGCTGAAAATTAGACTGCCTGTGAAGGCTTCTCAGAGCTCTGTTAGATGTTCATGTGTGACAAACTTTGTATCTTGGTAAAACATCTAGGATTTATGTTGGCTGTCCAGATAGCTACAAGTTTTTATACTTCAGTAAAAATCATTTGACATTCTTATTTTCTTCTCTAGGCCTTTCAAAGCTGTGTTCAGTACCATCTGGGGGCGCCGTGTCTGCTGCTCCTGCATCAGCTCCAGCTGCTGGTGGAGCTGCTGCACCAGGTAATCACAGAATGTATTTTTTCCCTGGATATGCAAGCACTTGGAATGTGACCACTTACTCCACCTGTTATAGATTCACACTGTGTTTAGTCAAGCATTTGCTCTAAAAAAAACACTAGAGTTAGACAATAGATTGTGGCAGATATTCTGAAATGGCTGTAGGTGCTTTTTAACCAGTAGTGTCTTTTAGAATGTTTGTGTGGCTGATTGGCACCTGATTGAGTAACACTTTCCCAGTGGTGGTAGGCATACTGGAGAAAATAGTGTGAATGAACAGACCTTCATAGTCATGAAGCCTGCTAAAGTGCAGTGAGAAATTTGCTATGTGCTAATTTTTAAAGAGACATTCAGCTTATATTTCTTAACCTCCCTGGCGGTATTCCCGAGTGTAGCTCGGGGTAAGGTTTCAGTATTACAAGCAGTAACCCCGAGCTACACTCGGGCTTACCATGCGGCGCTGCTCCGGGATCCCTCGATCACTTACCTTGTCCTGCGCTCCCGCGATGTCCCTCCTGCAGTGTCCCCTGCGAGCGTCGTGACATACGGGGGACGGAACAGCGGGAAATTTGAAAATGACAAAAAGTGACATTCACTAAAATCACTAAAATAACATAGTATAACATTACTGTATCAAACCATTTCACATACATTTTGTCCCTAGTGCTTTGTCCTGTGCCCTGCCTGCATTTTACTGTTCTTTCTGCCTGGAAACTGAGAACGTCCATGGCGTCCAAAAAGCGTCCCTTTAGGTCAAAAGTGGTTTTAGACCAGCTAGAGAACAGCGATAGTAAATCAGAACCACTTGCAGAACTGAGTGATAATGATTTGTGGGGAAATTCGTCATCAGATACTGAAAACGATTTTGCGACTTTGCTCACCGAAGTGCGAACTTGGTGCTATATTTCAAATTTCAGTGTTTTTGGTTTGATTATATTATTGAATTAAATTTATTATTGTTATTTTTTATATGATTATTTATTAAATTATAATTTATGATTTTGTGTTTGAAGTTTTATCATACCCGGGATGTTTACTAGACTCTTGTTCGGACAGATTTCAGTGAGTTATTCCTAAAAATTACAGCCTACAATAAAAAAAAATACATATTTCCATGCAAAAAAATGTACAGCTTTGAGCACAGAAATATGGACATAATCAGACCGCTAGGGAGGTTAAAGCACATCTGAACCCACGAACAAAAAATGCTTTACTGTGGTGATTTAGTTTTTTCTGTTCAAATCTGTGATCCTGCCAGGAATACTCTTTTGTTCTAGGGTAATGACATTTGCTGACTTTACTGTATCTATTAGGGAACTCTATAGATACATATACATTATGGAATCCTAGCATTGTCACCCTAGGACTACTGAACATCTCCACAACATAAGAGGGAAGTGTTCTGTAGTCCACAAACTGAGGAGTGCAGCAATAAACAATTTTATTGGCTCGCAAGATTTCTAGCAGGATCAGCATGTTTCAATAACATTTTAACAGACAAAAATGGAGAAAAGGTAAGTTAATTGATGGGTTTTACAGATACTTCAACACCAGGGTGTTTTGGACACACTAGTGGCAGAAAAAAATGCCAGAGCCTCTGGCAGAAAAAAGAGGCTCATAGTGGCTTGTATGGCACAAGAGTTTCAGTAGTTATGAGCATTTGCTTTTATAAGCGTTTTTTTCCAAAACATTCAGCTGTGCTCATTTTTTCAATATATATTTGAAAACACCAAAATCTGCTAATCGACGTGTTTTTATGATCGGTAAGCTTTCTTTCTGGCCGAAAGCTCCTCTCAAATTGATTCTGAAGGTGTGTTTTTTTTTTTTTTTTTTTTTTTTTTTTTGTGCCTCTAAATGCTTCTCTGAAAATGTGATTGTAAACTCCCTAATGTGTATGGACACAGACTAACATAGAGCTGCTCCTACAGGCAGAAGAAAAAACACAAAAAGGCTGTTTTACGCAAGATTGTTTTTAATGTCCGATGTGCATGGACCCTTAATGTGCTGTGTATTTGGCCTCAGCTTGAGTGCTTGTGAACTGCAAACCTTATGGTTAATGTATGGTGAGAGGCCTCCTATTTATCTGCTATGAATAAACCTATATTTTGCTGCTATTTCATGTGGCTTTCCTAAGTGCTTTGGAAATACAGCTATCAAAGTTCTATCAAAGACTATCAAAGTTCTGAATTCTTTGAATATAACAGCCTGCTTGGGGATGTTGTTATATGTCTTCCCTCACAAACCCTCCAGAGTGCTGGCGTTGTGGCTGTGCTCTTGGGGACTTTATATATATTTTTTGCACATGCCTGCCAATTGATACTTCCTGGATGCAGATAATGCTGGTCGTTAACCTCATGGTGGATGTTCTTTTAACCCCCATCCCCCAGAGTCTGTTTATCGGCTTTGCTGGAAGACCTGGTTCCTAGGGTGGCAGGCAGGACACTTGTAGCTCCTTTACTGTTTTTACGTCAGAAAAGCCATCACTTTGTGTTGGAAAAAGCAGGTGCTCTCCTACTTTCTGGAAACAGCAAGTTAATGCCATTTTACTTTTGTACAAAGATACCTATCTGCATAGAGGGTGCCCTTAAAAGTATGACAGTAGGGGGAAATGGTTAGCAGAACCCTCAACAGCTACTGACACCTGACCTCTATGCACTATTTGTGCCCCTCCTGGAGCCTCTGTTATGGATGTTGGGGGGGGGGGGGGGGGGGTACCTCGTGTACGGGAGATGATAGGTCTATTTGTCCTAAATTGTTGGTCACGAGCAGCAGCTGTTTTATGTTCCTGTTTTGTTTTTCTTTTTACTGTACGCTATGTTTGCAGGCCGAAACCCTGACTGCAAACTTACTATGTTTTCACTAAGATACCTCTGGGTGGGTTAGTGCCTAAGGGTGTAAATGTTCTTAAGTGTATTTTCTGGGAAAACCAATAAAAGCATTTCTTTTTATACTGTGTATTTGTGGCATAAAGAATTACATTTTTTTTATTTTTTTTTTACCATTTTTAGCTGAAAAGAAAGAAGAAGAAAAGGAAGAATCTGAAGAGTCTGATGAAGACATGGGATTTGGGCTCTTTGATTAAATGCTTTCTTGAAACTTAATAAAGAAACGTTCCATCAGATTGATTGGTCCTGTATATGTTAAACTGGTAATGTAATCATTTATTGATACATAAATGAATTAAATTTGGGTCTGAATTACAAAGTATGATGTAAAGGAAAAAAGAAAACCTCTAAAAAAAAAAAAAAATAGAAGGTATAAGACTAACTTTATAGGCACCACAAGAGACCTCACAAAGTATAAACAAGTTGTATTACATTTATTTAAACAAATATAAAATTTTCCACATATAGGCATATGCCCTAATAAAAAAGACCATGGAGAATACCCACAAAGGTATATCTTCCTCATAACATATGATTTACATGAGTATGTAAAACTTGTTCATATTTCATCCATCTTCAATTGTCAAGGCATTTCACATTAGGCTTCTTCTGGACCATATATTTGAGGAGATAAAGCACTAATATTGTAGAAAACATGGCATATATTAATCCAGTTTATGATGATAATACACACGTATTTGATGAACAAGAAAAATAGAAGAGGCTCACATGGGTGGGGCACATTGCTGAAGGATCCAAAAGTAAGGTCTTACAGGCAAACATAGGGGAACCAAAAGAGACAACCAATACTTGGACAGGCAGACGGTTCTGGGGCCAATCGCCAACACTATAAAGATAGTACAACAGTACTATAATATATACTATTCATATTTCCTCCCAGGATTCAAGTAAATAACACAACTTATTGTATTCCAAGGGTACTTACATCAACGTTTGAAGATTTTTCCACATTTAATAGACCCACATTCCTTTTAGGACATAAATCATACCATTCATGTTTAAGCATTGTAAACCTGGAAATAATTATAAGACAAAAAACTGCTTATAATCTCCTTATCTTAATAATTTTTCCCCTTAATTTCAATGTACCACATAGAAATGGAATGGCTTACCTGTATATATTTAGGCTGCCAACCACTGCCATACTCAGCGCCCCCACACTGGTAGAATTTGCCCAAACTGTGTGATTTTTTTGATTCCTTAAGAGACTTGTATCAACCATTTATTACAGGTATTTATATAGCGCAGTCAATTTACGCAGTGCTTTTTACATATATAATTATACATTCAGTCCCTAACCCTCAAGGGGCATACAATCTAAGGTCCCTAACTTACATTCATACATACACATACTGGAGCCAATACACCTACCAGCATGTCTTTGTGTGGGAGGAAACCAGAGTACCTGGAGGAAACCCACGCAGGCACAGGGAGAACATAAAAACTCCAGGCAGGTTTTTTCGTGGTTGGGATTCAAACCAACAACCCTAGTACTGCGAGGTGGAAGTGCTCACCATTTAGCCACTGTGTTGCCCATATTTACTATTAGGGCATGACCCCAGCTACAAAAATGAGGGGTATTAAACACCACAAGATCTGTGTATAGGGAACCCAAACCCATTTATAACCCATACATGGGGATCTCACCTGATCTCCAGGAAGACATAACTGCAAGCTGAGGAGTCCAAGACTGGTAAAGGACAATCCCCCAAGTATTTTGGTTCAGGTAGTAAGTAAAGAATGGGATTTCAGAGGTCTCCTTCCCAGATCATAAAACTCAAAATATACCTCTTCTTAACCATTAGCCGCCCAGCCAATAGCTGTTTGGCGGCCGGCAAAATGCTTTAGCTTTCCGGGTGGACGCCATATGGCGTCCTCCCGGGCATGCGCAGTTTGTGCGCTTGCAGAGCCGTGCAGCGGCGCGATTTGTCACTGGCCGTGTATCTCAGACACGGACGATGACAGATCTGAGTACCGGCCCCCGTTGCCGGTACCATGTGACCTGCTGTCATAACAGTTGTATACAATGGATGGCTTCATTCATGCCATCCATTGTATACTAGTGTCTAGCTGTGAATGGTCACAGCGATCACATGCACATGTCATGTGATTAGCCCTGGCCAAATCACAGCTAAGCACAAAAAAAAAAACTTGAATGAATCGATGTCATTCAAGTAAATGCTTATAGCAAAGTAATTCTCTGC